CCGGCCATTCAATCGGGCCTCTCCGTCCTATCCACTGATCAACAAAAACTTCATCTAAATATGCTCGAACATCTCATCCATAATGGGGCGGAGCTCCATCTTGTTGAAACCATATGTGTTCGAAGTTTTCAGAGATTTCTCTTATTACGGGAACAATTTGATTCCGGAGCATGTCCTCGTATTTTTCAGCAGTCAAATTACCATCAATAAAGAACGGTCCTATAATTCTATTTCTTAATATGCCAGCCCAAACATTCAGTTTCTCCGGATATTGTGTTCTATTGTCTCTCATCCAATTAGGATTTGTAGTTTCCCAATATCTGCAATTATGCCTATTCAGAGTCCCATTTAGTTGAAATGTTGCTTCATCCGAGAAGACTATTCTCGATAGAAAGTTGTGGTCATCATCGATTCGTGACATCATATACTCACAAAATTCAACGCGTCTATCGAAATCGTCTTCATTTAGCTCGTGAACAAGGTTAACTTTGTACGGGTGAAATCCATTTTTTTTCAATATCTTATGAACAGACATTGTACTTATTTCATGTTCTTGAGAGACCTTACGGGTTGAACTATGCGGATCATCAATGAATGACAATAAAACATTCAATGAATTGTCAAAATTTGTTGTTGTCATTGGCCTACCCGTTTTAGGTCGATCTTTCACGCTGCCAGTATCATTGAACCGCCGAATCGTTCGTTCGACGGTAGATTTTGAAATAGGAGTCAACCCATTTCTGAATGTTTCGTTGAAACGCTCCTTTACTTGCATGTACGATCACCTTAAATCATCCCAGCCTCTCATCATGAGAAGCGTTAACAACATCAACAACATTAATAAATAAATCGATAAAATAGTACGTAGAATAATTCAATATGAACGCAGCCAATGTTGGACCAAATACGTATTATCTACTCGACATCTAATCGCTACATTAATCAATATTCAAAGTAATTTTCAATTAAAAATTCTTAAAAGTAGTAAACGTAGGTATGTTCGACGGAGTACCTTGTTTCCAAGCGATACTGAAATTGCTACTGCATGTATGAATGTGCATCCAAATGGAAGTACTGCGACATTGGCCTTGGTCTTGGACTTGGTCTTATTCTTGGACTTACTCTTGGTTTTGAAATTGGTCTTGGTCATGGACTTGGTTTTGGTGATGTACTTCGAAGTTGGTCTTACTGTTACAAATGTACTTAGATATGGATCTTGGTCTTGGTCATGGTTCATTATCACACCTGTATTATTGTGTATGTAAAATATCGTATACACCAAGGGGTTAGATCTGGCTGGATTTTCAATCGTTTTGGCTTAATATTAATGGAAACATCATTCAAAGCTGCGAATACATAAAATTAGCCCTCTTTTCAGGGCTACGAGATATACAAAATCCAACCGTGCAACCTCCACGTGATGTACATTGGGTAACGCTAATGCCGGTGGTATTAGAAATCTTAAAACTCAAATATTTTTGCGAAAAATGATCGCAGCGCCCTCTATGCATAGTGTTTTGAATTCGTCTCGAAAAGACCTTTCAAACGAGCCCCCACTCGACCCCCCTTCCCATTTAAGAATTTATTCCTCGCCCCCCGCACCCCCTTGGGGTTGGGGGGCTGCAACCCCCCGCAAAAGATAGATTTTTTGAAAACTCGTTTGACGTGTTTCAGCGTTTTTCGAAATTTTAATTTTTCTAAAAGTTATTCAACCGTCCCGGTACTTTATGTACACCCTGTATATCCCGACCGGTTGCAGTCGATTGAGTACACTTAGAATTTGATCGATTCAGCCGTTATTGAGATCCGATAATTTCGTATTATGTATGAACAAATATTATATATTAAATATTTTATACATATATATATATAATTAAATAATATTGCAGATGGCAAACTCTAACACAAAAATGAAAGAAAGAAAAACTTCAGCTTTAAACATGTTGAAAAAGAAGATTAGCGAGTCACGTAAAGAAAATATCCAATTAGAAAATTATTACGTACAAAAATTTCAGGAAAAACGGATTGATTCTATATCACAGAAAGTTTTACAAAATTCGGTATTAACGGAATCCAAAACAGAATTAGTTAATCTCATGAAGATGGATTTAGAAAAAAAACATGAAATTGAAATTAACATATTAAATATGCAATGACAACGGGAAAAATTGCAAATGCAATTAATAAATAAGGAACTTGAAATTAAGAATTGCCTCTTAAAACAATTACAATCTAATGAAACACATTAGATACTGCAGGATATTTATAGTAAATTACAACAGCCCATCCGTAATTCACTCTAAAATAATATTGTTCCTCTCTTTTTAGAAATTATATATTTGTTATAAATGCATATGCATTAACATATGCGCGCAATTCCAGGCGCAAAATAAATTTAAGATTTGTTTTAATTTAAAGAAAAGTTATCGGTTTTAGAAAAAACTGAAATATTACTTTTTAGTTTTTGTGTAATAAATACTTTTATTATTTTTTTATTATTGCATATAAGTGTATATACATACAAGCGTATATATTTGTATGTACATGTATGATAAAATGTTATTTTTGACGGAACTTGGTGGGAATGATGAATGTATTATAAACTGAGGTTATAGCTAAATATTACTAGAGGTTCAGGTTTAAACCACTGAACTATACTAATGGAAAACGTTCTGAGGCCATCCGCCTGAATAGACAAAGAGAGTCAGTTTAGGTTACTTTGTCCTTGTCGGTACAGTCTGAGTCAAGAGTGCTTTCCATGCGTCTGCGCATGCGCAGTTCCAAATTGTTTGATACTTTACAGAGGATAAAATAAATATATGTTTATTGTTGTTTCTATGTTCATCATTAATTAATAGTGTAGTAAACATAATTATTTTAAAAAAAGAACTGCAGTTGAAAAAATTTGCAGATAATTTTTTTCTCATTATAAAACTGAAAATAAAAAATTATATAATATTTATATGTCTAGATATCAGCGTATATTTTTTTATTTTGATATTAATCGTGAAAAAACATTTTTTTAATTGGCAGTTTATTCAAATTACAATTATTTTTATGAAAAATTATATTTGCATGAATCTGATGATCTACTTGAACATCCCATGCTGAGGTTGTACTCTGTGTTTGATATATTTGTGATCTGTAAATAAAAAATAAATTAGTTATTGTAAACATTTTCAAAATAAGTATGCAATTATTTTCAAAATTTTATAGCAGTAACTATAAAATCATTTTTGTTACATGCCAGTGAAGAATATAACACAAAAAGTAAAAAGCCATTCATCAAAAAAGTTAAAGGAAAAAAGTAATTTTTTCCTTTAACTTTTTTGATGAATAAGTAACATTTTAATATACATATATATTTGTATAAAAGCAATTATATAAAAAGATACAAAAATACAAAAATAGTCTCACAACTCGGGCTAATGAGAGTTTAATGCTGTTCTTCAGGCGTAGAGAAAAAATCTAAATGTACTTCAAGTGGTCATCCTTCTTTAATCACATGAAATTACATTCGAACGTTTCGACTCACTTTGGAGTCTTAATCAGCGAAGAAGATTACAAAAATTAGAAATTCTCCGTTGAGAGTCAGTCACCACAAACTACCAAATCTGTTGTACTCTGGATTCTCAAACAGGAAAACACCAAAAGCTCAACAAAAATATATTCCATTCTTTATAAAAGTAACACGCTCGCAACTATATGTATAACAATAAATTAAATCACAAAATTATGTATTGTCCGAAAAGTATGTATTGTCATTTCAAATTGGAACGTTAAAATGTTCACGTACTGTTTTCGTGTGGGAAAACTTATTAAGGATTTGTTTTCTGTTCTGAACTGACATTACATTGCTTACTGGCTCCTTCACACACACACATTGGAGGAACAAAGATAAACTCTGAACTAGTGTAGCCAGTTCAGGAACAGAAAACAGACCCTAAAATTAAAAATAAGGATGTCATTTTTAATATGATAGTGAAAGTAAAAACCTCCGCACAATGAAGAAAAATAAAGAAAGATAAGAAATAAAATGAAGGAAAAAGAATTAAAAGAACGAATTAAAAGAAACAATACTGATCGCATACTTATTTGTTATTTGTTATTCTTTTATTGCGCGGAGGTCCAAACAAACGCACTTTTCTAAATACTAATAAAATCTTAAATGTGATAATAATAAAACAAATTTCAAATAATTAACATGGAAAATAAAATATTAAAGCTGGGAGCACATAGAAAAACATAAGCGGTAAAACTTTAGTATTAAGCGAATCAACTAATCATAGTTGAGACCTTAACATAAGCTGCGACGAATCAAACATGTTGATTTCCTTATTGCTTACATTTTTCTATGTGCTAGCTTAAACGTGAAGGAACAAAATTGTCTTGTTAAATTTCTGTCGCAGGGTTGGTTTCGAGCCTAGATACTTTAGTGTATTAGTTTTCGCATAAGCGTATAATCTTATTTTTTTATACAGTGCAATAACGAATTTTTGATGATTTTAATTTCATGTATTTCTTCACATAGATTGCTCGTTTCGAATGGGGTAGTCTGGCTTAAATAATGTTTTCAATGAAGGCATAAATTGCTTTATAGCAGCAGCACTGATTTTGTCTTTGAAATTAATGTTTCCATTGAAACCAACAGTTATCTCTGCTTTAAAAGCTTTTTCGTAAAATATGACTATTTCAAAAATGCACTTTGATGGGATCTTTAACCTTCCTCTATTCACAAAATCTAAAAATCCAGAGTCAGAATTGTAATAATTATGATCTTTTGAATGGGATGATGCAATGACAATTTTATAGCAGTAAGAACATTGAAATTTTTTCATGAAATTGTTCACTATATTGCCAGCAATATAATATAAGATATTTCGTTGGTAATATGATAATTCCAAATGCTCTAGTCTCATCATTAAATCTTTCAACTCACAATTGTTACGATCAGTGCAATTTACTTCTTGAAGGGCTCGTGTGCCCTTCAGAGATGCCAATTCTGTTACAGTTTACGACATCGCGACTAGCGCCATCGGTCGGCGGCCTGGCGCAACCGGTAGCACACACACAAGCACAAACTCGTGTACACGTGACTCTGGTAGCAGCAGCCAGCCGACTCGCTCTGTCCTCATCGCACTACGTTCTTTCCTTGTTCGCCTTTGGCGCGCTGAGAGCGAACAAGACAGCGAAAGAGAATCTGAGAGAGAGAATCCTTCTCCCTGACTCACTGTTGTGTCGCATAGCCATAGATCGTTTCACCGAATGAAGCGTCAAGCGACCGAAATGTTTTCTGGGGCGATCGGCGTGTATTAAGAGGCATAGACGACATTTTAGACATATATATTAAACACACACACACACACACACACACACACACGCACGCACGCACGCACGCACGCACGCACGCACGCACGCACGCTCGCACGC